TATATCGTAGAAAGTGTTTTACATTTGGAAGAATAAATCATTTGCGGAATGTTATATGTTCCCGTACAGATATAAAACACACCTTATTCTTCTGTTTCCTGTTTGAATAATATCATTATGAAAAAAAAGGGCGCTTACGTTGTTTCTAAACGAAATTAATCCTGAAAAGAATTAGCGTTAATAAAGACGCCGTTTACAAAAGTTTTACATTTTCGGTCGATCATTTCTATTTTAGCGGAATGTACCAATAATACGAAGCTTCTGTTTCAAATAACCCTTTTCAATGAAACTACATACATTTGAATTTAGAATAATATATATTATTATGTAATCTAGTATATAAAATTCTCGTGTCACGATGTGCGTGATTGAACTCCTCTGAAACGGCTTGACCGATTTTCGTGAATCTTAGCGGGTATATTGGCCAGAATAGAAAATAGGACAATATCAATTTTTCATCCCCCTAAATTTTAAGGGTGGTCCACCCCAAAATTTTTTTATTTATTTTTTAGACAAAATTTTTTGTTTTTATTTTTTTATGATACAGCATACAAAAATACATACAACCCTAAATTTTTACCCCTCTATGATCAACCCTTATTTTTTATTTGTTAATTAAATCTAATATATAAAATTTTCGTGTCAAAATGTTAGTTACCATGCTCCTCTGAAACGGTTCGACCGATTTTTTATGAAATTTTATATTCATGTTAGTAGGTCTGAGAATCGGCTACTATCTATTTTTCATACCTCTAAGTGATAAGGGTTGTCCACCCCTAACATTAACTATTTTTTTGGAACGAAGTTCCCTATGGGACGATGCGGAGGGGTACCCTAACCGGGAAAAAACGTCCGTTACGTAAGATTTTTATTAGTAATGCACACAGTCTACGACTTAACTTTGTAATAACTTACAAAATTGCATATTTTTTTATCATTCATTGACCACGATCTCAGATCGTTCGCTTGCGCAATAAATACACTAACTCTTATGCAAGCAACCGTGAATGAAGTGTACCACAATAAGTTCGCACATTACCGAATGACTGTGGGTTGTTGCGAAACCTCCAGTTTTATTTTCTTTATACCTCGAATAGATCTTAAAATTAATATTTTTATTATAACGAACTTCGTTCCTATCCGGTGTCCCACGACACCACACATCTTTTTTTTGTTATAATGAGGCATTATGTGGTTGAATGAGGTTTTTATATTTTTATATTCCCTCATCGTTCACAGCGCTACATGCCTCTTTCACTCATTTACCACATCCTTACACACTTACAATAATGGCAAACCATAATTGTTTCCTTAAGACAACGAATTTTCTGATATTTATTAAATGGAGGGCTACTTCTTTGCTATTCCTATGAGTATTTATTCTTATGATATTAATATAAGCTAAGCAGATACTGCTCAGTACACTAGTAAGGAAAGCTGATTAAAAAAAAAAACGATCATTTTAAAAAAGCTTTCCGTGTACACCTAAAAAAGCAATCCGTAAGTTTTCCGTACAAAAGTTATATTGGGTTTCCCTTCGAATTTATGCGAACTCATAAATCTTGGGCTGGCCAAATTGCCCGTTACAGATACAAGGAGATGATTTAAACGTTATCTTTTGTACTTTTTAGATTCTTTCAAATAAAACTTTACCCCGTTTTATCTTGGACGGACTATGCATCATAGAATGTTGACCGCATGTTAATGCGGATGCCTAATAGAGGTAAACCACCTATAACACGGTAAATAGGTTCCTAAAAAGTCCCGTGTTATGCGAAACCGTGTTATATGAGATTAGAAGCCAGTACAAAAAGAAGAATAATTTTTCTGAATGAAACATCTGAACTATGTTTGTATGAACTATTTTTCTACCAATTATACATAAAAAATAACCAGTAAAATTTCGGATATATCCATACACTTTGTGTTCGTAGTGCATAATGTAATTTTCTAGAAAAATTTAAACAAAAATTTCGTTATCGTGCTATAGAAGTACCGTGTTATAAGAGGGCTTTGGGAAATCTGTTTTCGCGTAGAGCGGAACCGTGTTGTAACAAACCGTGTAATAAGAGGGTTACCCGTACAGCATTGTAATTACCGCTGCTTTAGTCTGTCTCAGCTGCAGTGATACAATTACTGTCCTATTCTCTATTAAGATTAACCAGAACGCACGATTCACTGAATTTACAGGGACAATTGGCACTATTGGCTTTGGATTGCATAATCTACAACACCTACGAACCAGTGAATTCGTTTCTTTAAAGCCCAAAGGTATGTCGTATATTTGCTTATGGATTATATGGATATATAATGTCTCTTATATACATATAATTGTGGGATGAGCTAAAGGTGGTTATGAAGGAGAATAAACTCCCTCAAAAGGATGCCGAAAACCGGGTAAAGTGGAGGAGCTTAAGTAGGAAAGCGAACCCGGGCACTAGACCGGGAAAACGGTAGAAAGAAGAAAAAGAATGTCTCTTATATACAAACTAAACTTTAAAGACGTCTTAAGCATAATATAGTAATTATCAAACTTAGACAATTCCAAAGTTCATAAGCAAGGACGGAATATGAGGACTACAATAAATATTTTTTTATTGCTTAGATGGATAGACGAGATCACAGCCCACCTGGTGTTAAGTGGTTACTGGAGCCTATGGACATCTACAACGTAAATGCGCCACCCACCTTGAGATATAAGTTCTAAGGTCTCAGTATAGTTACAAATAATTATGACAAAATATATTATGTATGTATATTTTATATGGGTAGTCTACGTCTAGTACATTAAGTACCGCAATTGATATTATGATTGTTTCTATTAACAGCAAATATACATTAGAATATACCATTGAATATTTGATATTGGAATAAAAAATATATCGCTGATTATTAACATAAGTACTAATGTGTGAGCAGTGGAAGAAAGAGAAACGATACAAATTATTCCAAAGGTCTAATAGTCGGGCAACTATTTGTACAGCCCCTAAAAGATTTAAATAAAATAAGATCGCGAGAATTGATCCATACAGCTTATTTTTAATTCGTGAAATCTTGTGTGAAAATGTTTGCCCCTTTAGATCGTCAAAAGTAAAACATATAGGTACTAAGTTATATCAATCAACAAGGTCGGCTGTTAAAGCTATTATCAAACTGTCTGTGGTTTAAAATAAATATACTATTAAAATAATGTTTTTTCCTTATTTTTTATTTATTTATATATTTACGTAATTACTGGTGATAGAGCCACAATGTAAGCCCATATAGATAATTACTACTGTCCGGATTATTTCAGTTAAAACCGATCCAAGGAGCGTAATAGTCGTTATGCAATTGAGATTTATTTTTATTTTTATTTGATTTTCTCAATACGAGTGGTGATATAATAACAGGTAGGATTTGTACGACATACGTATTCAGACAAAATTAATACTTATTTAATTATTCTTTATTGATATTTTAGGGAGACGAGCAAACGGCCCATTGCTACTGGGTCCATTGCGAGTGGGCCCATTGCTAGTGGACCCATTGCTAGTTGGCCCATTGCTAGTGGGCCCATTGCTAGCTACCAAACGAATGGTTACCATCAGTCATGGACGTCAGCAATGCCAGGGGTAGAGTCAAGCCGCTGCCTACCACTGAGTACTCTGCGTAAAACTCGATTGAAGAAGGATATGTCACAGCGCTCAGAAAACACCGTGTAGGGAAGCTCATTTCAAATCCGGATGGTACGTAGCAGAAAATATCTTTGAAAACGCAACATCCACAGGGATGAATGCAGTGGTTTTAAATAGCATGGATGAATTCTGCTCTGGTGGCGGGTGGTGTGATGGTAAAAATGAGATGATGGGATCATCTCAAACAATTCCTTAGAGCACTTCCCATGGAGCGATACAAAACACAAAGAGAACCAAACTCCCTCCGTAAGCCCAAAGATTCAAAAAAATCCGTGAGAACGGGATTATCGATATGGGTAAATTGGTTAATATGATAAATCATATCTAATGTACAATAATCCAACAAATTACATGCGAAATGTTACTTGTTCGATTGAGTTCAAATTTGGTGTAGTAATTACTAATAAGCTTTCAAGAAACGCTTTTTCGCAGTATCGAATCAACGATCTTATCGATTACTAAAATAGCCGGCACACAATTAAGTGACTAATACTATAAAATATGTATAGGAAATTGATAATTGGTGTCGTGGTATCGCGCGATATTGGATCGCTTCTTTGTTAAAATAATCATTGTTATAACATTACTTTATAAATTTACTAGCTGACCCGGCAGACTTTGTAGTGCCTCAACCGATAAGTAAAAGACCTAAACTTTTGTATAAAATAAACTTAAAACAAACAAAAGGAATCCGTCCGACGGGGGACACATCAAAGGGAAAACAAAATTATTATTTTTATTTAATTCCGAGCATTATCATATTTATCTACCTTTTAAACCTTCCGTGGACTTCCACAAATAATTCAAGACCAAAATTAGCCAAATCGGTCCAGCCCTTCTCGAGTTTTAGCGAGACTAACGAACAGCAATTCATTTTTATATATATAGATAGATTAATTCCCGTGACACATTAATTTCACTCATTAAAATAAAGCTGTTAATACATTTTTTTTGCTTTTAGTTTGATTAAATGGGAATAAATATAGATCTTAAAAAAATTTTTTTAAGCACGCCGTAAAATTTCATGGTGTTTGTTTAAGTTTTGAATATTATAAAATTTCTTCATCATTTACTATCATTTAACCATTTAAATATATTTTGTTTCGGTTAATCAAAGAAACTTGAAAACAATTTTTGAATTCCGATTTCGAATGTAACGGAAATCGGGGCATAAAAGTTTTAAGCCTAGTTACCTTAAAGACTTAAGTTAGAAAATTTAAAATAATTTTTGTTAAAAAAAAACTCAGTGTACCTATTTATTATAAAGTGTTATTCTAAAATTTATCTTAAATAAAGAGCATGAAAGTCTGGATTAGTTCTTACCTTAGCGAGGCGGCAGGCTGCTTCGATGAGGGTGCGGAGTCGAATGCCGCACGGCGGGTCGCACCGCCAGTACCACAGTACGCTGCACACAGTATCCGCAAAGAACCTAAGGACCGATTGATCGAGTACCAGCCCCCGGGAACCGAGCCGTAATAGTTTTAATTTACGCACGAAATTGACTCACTTTGAAGTTTTAAATTGTGTTGTTCATCTCATTTTATGAGGACAAAATATAATCTAACTATCCCGTTGAAAAATAAAGACAATTTTTTTTATCGTTGTATTTTTTTGCAAACATACAAATTGTTAGTAAAATAAATTAATTCAAAATTTTTGCCCTAAGTTTTTTTTATCATAAAAATAATATTTAGAAGAATTGTAGGGAATTAGGGAATATGAGCGTGGCAGCTATTGTCAAACATTCAAAACACTCAAATTGGACAAAAAAATTACATCTATTGTCAGATGTAGTCATAGTTTGAGAGTTGAAATTGAATTTCAAATATCTACTTTTTAAACTCAAATCAATAAATCTCTAACGGCCGTTTTCAATAACGTATCTGAGTTTTCGGATAGATAGCTATCTCCGAATATCAGCAAGAGCGTATCTATCCTTAGTTTGCGTTTCACAATCACGGATAATTGCTATCTCTCTTTAACCAACAGTAGATAGCTTCTTCCCTCCGATTTATCCGAGCCTCTTGATACGTTTCGTTCTACTACAAATACGAAACAACATCAGGNAAACGGAAGTAAGCACGATTTGTATGAGCGTTCTATCTTTAGCAGGCTATCCGTCCTCCCGACGATGGATAGATAAATCCGATAGGAACTGCTGCCCGTCGATAGGTTATTGGAACGTAAGTAAGGACAAAAATATAGATTTGTCTATCTTTAGTAACCGAAACTAGGGATAGATAGGTTATTGAAAACGGCCGTAAGTCTAATTTTAGAAATGTCGGAAAATAAAAAAATAAAAATATATATTTTTTTATATATTCAGAGTAACATTGAAAGATTAAAAAAGATTATTATTGTCAAAGATTATGCTTTCCCATCATTGAGACGAGTTAGTAAAATAAAATAAAAATAGCTTATGTTCATTTTCTGTAACTTACTCCTTTACTGTATTCTATTAATTAATTACTACTGCTAACTAATTGTGATGCAGAAATTCATTTTAATCGATGAATAATTTACAAGCTGTAACTTCAAGTTGTAGTCCTTTCCAACTCTGTTTAGCATTAAAAGATTTTTTTTTTTATGTTTTTGTTTCTCATTATATTTATAGTAAATATTGAATGAATTTATTTCATAATCATTGAGAATGTAGGGGTATAACTATAGCTATTGCCAAACTTAGGAAGAAAACCGACATAGCCCGAAGGATTGCAAGATTGGGATGGCAGTGGGCAGGGCATTTTGCACGTAGAAGACACGGCTACTTGGGCCAAAGAGATCCCGAGTGGCGACCGCGCATCAGAAAACGCAGCATGGGTAGGCTTCCCACAATGTGACAAATCTTTGGCGATCTTTGGGCGGGGATCTATGTCCAGCAGAAAAAAATGCCATAATTAAGATTAAAATCTGTTGAAAAATCGTTTATTTTCTCTATTTCCTATTTACGTATAGACTACCTATCAAGGAAAAGTGTCAGCGCAACTTCCCCTGGGAATGAGATTTTTTTTCGAGATAAAAGGTAGCATGTAATGCATGTCACCCAACTAACCTAAAACTATCACTAAAAAAATCTCGTCAGTCCGTTGCTTCTGTTCGACAAAAAAAGGACAAAAGAAAACGCACAAATAAACTGTGAAAATTTAGTTTAAAAACAAAAGAAATCTTTTAATAGCAAACCGAAATCTTATTCCTGACGATTGTGTTCGAATATTAGACAAAGTAGTCAAATTATTGCACTTTTGTATTTGCTTCTTATTCCGTACGCGTATTTTCAAGTTAATCGGATATCTTAAGGTTGATGAGTATTACCTTCAAAGATTTTGCCTTCTTTATAAATATATGACAGCTAATAAAACCGTGTTAATTAAAAATAAAAACATATCGATGTATTAATAATACACTCCCTGGGCAATTTCGCGTATGATTATAACAATATGGTGCAAATTAACCCTCTTGCCGGCTCGGGTTAATTGGACTATTATGGACTTTTATACTTTCGTCTTAACGTCGCTGTTTCAAAAGCAGAGACGTGCCTTTCGTTTAATCGATAAAGTTCTTAGACGACGATAAAACATATTTCCGACTTCCCGTAGACATCATAGCAGAAATGCAGCTACTCGCCCTGAGACCTGAGGTCAAAATGTGGCGGTAGCTATCATTAGAACATAAGACATTTGACAGATAATAGAAGCTCTCTAAAGACATTCGTCAAGACAACTTTGCATATATAACAGTTCCGAACAATAATATTCGGGTCGTTGGTCTACCGAGCTATTAAGCCCGCTCTGTGGAAGATTTCGATGTCGTATACCCCCAAGACAGTATCAATATTTATTTTACTGGCGGTAGGACCACTTGTGAGTCCGTGCGGGTAGGTACCACCACCCTGCCTATTTCTGCCGTGAAGCAGTAATGCGTTTCGGTTTGAAGGGTGGGGCAGCCGTTGTAACTATGCTTGAGACCTTAGAACTTATATCTCAAGGTGGGTGGCGCATTTACGTCGTGGATGTCTGTGGGCTCCAGTAACCACTTAACAACAGGTGGGTTGTGAGCTCGTCCACACATCTAAGTAATAAACAAAAAATCTACAGTACCTGACGATAAATACTGCACATCGTCCGTTAGAAAGAGATAGTCTGCTAATTTCAGCTTCACAGAGCGTTATCAGAAAGCGTACCGTGGTCTCCCACGAAGTGGACCGTCGAATCCACTGGATGCAGGTTGCGCAAGACTGGTTATTGTGGCGAACCTTGGACAAGACCTACGTTTAGCAGTGGGCATGCCTGAGCTCATAAAAAAAGAGTGCTATCTCTGTCGTCAATATATTAAAGTGAAATTAGTTTCAAACAGGACTTTTAATAAATAACGCGTAAGACTTTTCAATAACAAAGAAGACGGCTTGAGTATTTTAAGCGTATTTGAAGTCGATATATGATTTCATTTACACAATTGTTATGCTTCGTTTGAAGTTGAATTTCTAACGCTTTCATAATTAGCATGTAAACAACATGCGTAATTACGTATACGGGATTGCTTCGGAGTGTGTTCAGATCAAATACACTTGAAGATGTGAGTGGATGAAGGGCATACTATAGAAATTAAAGATATTGCTTAAAATGGAACTAAAGAACGGCCGTCTGGTGTAGTGGTAAGTGACATGGTCACTACGCAAGGGGGTCGCGGGTTCGAATCCCGCCAAGGGAAGATATTTGTATGATAAATATAAATGTCTTTTAGAGGGTTATGGATGTATATTAAATATATGTATGTGTATAATAAAAATCTTACATTTATTTCCGTTATCTGGTACCTGTAACACAAGTTCTTTACGAACTTATCACGGGACCAGTTAACGTGGCGTGGTTGTTAGTAGAAAAAAAAAAAAAAGTTTTGTGTTACCTTGAGCCCCTAAGATGGCTACCACTATTATGGCTATTTCAGACTTGAAGGATAGGATATTCCCTATGCAATACGATCTAGAATTCCACTGAAATCTAAAAAGCGGGTGGTGGTGTTCCTTTCTAAAGGTTTCAGTAGCTACACGAGAATAGGCTAGCTGTGAGCTCGTCTGCTTATTCACAGCAATTACTAAAATATTCTTCTTGTTTGTGCATATTTTGATTTTGATATTTGAGTCCAGATATTAGTTGGATCAGATATTACCCAATCAAAATCTCGGTCAGGGTGCCGCCACTAAATTATATGGTAAAATTTAAACCATCATAAGAAAATATGAACACAAAATTTCGTGACTGTACCAAAAAAACATTGAAGACTTTTTTATATCTTATTTATTTATTTATTATACTTCATGTAAAATTTACATTGGCGGACTTAATGCCTAAGGCATTCATTCTCTACCAGTCAACCAAAGGTAGTGCAGAGTAAATAGTGGTAGTAGGTGCAATGAAATTTATATTAAGTTACAAATATACACAAAAAAAAGTATACATATACAATTATACATATATACACAAGCACATATACATGCATACATAATGCACAATATACATATAATATCTTCAACCTGACTACCGACTTATGTCATGCTTACCATAAAAATAATGGTCGTAGAAATAGAAATCCAACTCCGTGGGCTAAAAGTGCCCGTGGGCTAAAAGTGAATCTAGTTTACCTTGCAATATTTAATCGAAACAAATATAGAAATATTAGAAATTTATAAAATCATTTAAAATTATTACTGATCATTGAAAAGACCACACGTAACTCCTTCTTCCGACTACGTCTTCAATGAAGTCTACACATAAAAGGAACAATCAATAGCGTACAACTGAAGCGTTCGCACGATACAATTACAAGGTTCATTAGACTTGTCATGAACATAACGTGGCTTCGGGCTTTAATTATATTCATATTTGATTGTCGGAAGAATTGTAGCGGTGACATCGTTTGTTTTCAGTAGCCTTTCATGAAATGGCCATTAATCAGAAACCACTTTGAGAAGGCGGCACGACATGAGAACCCTCTTGTCGTAGCCGCTGGAAACTACATACCCGATCCTGTAGACCGAATAGTAAACAGTCGACGTCGCCCAAAACACGTCATTACGGATCCTCCCGATCCATTAACGGTGCTTTTAGGTACCACAAGCACCGGTCACCGTCCTCGTCGAACCCGTCGCAAGGGCTCGACGAGCGAATTCACCCACAGACACAGCCCACTGAGTTTCTCGCCGGATCTTCTCAGTGGGTCGCGTTTCCGGTGGTAGATTCTGCGAAGCACTGCTCTTGCTAGGGTCAGTGTTAGCATCACTCCGGTTTGAGCCCCGTGAGCTCACCTACGAGCTAGGGTTACGTTGAAATAGCCTCACAAGGCTATCAGCTTAAGTGGGAAAAAAAAATCTGAAAATTCAGCAGAAGAAATTTCAGCTTTAGGAGTCCACAG